TTTTATTTGGTGTCTATTAAAGAAAACAACACAATACAAAATATAATATAATATAATACAATACAATACAATAAAATAAAATTTCTTATTTATGTATACAAATATATATATTTTATGTTTATGTTTTTGCAAAAGTTTTATGTAAAAGTAGAAAAAAAGCCTATTAACTATTTCAAATATTATTTAAATCCGTTGTGGTACGTTTATATCTGATACTTGCAAAATTTTTGGGTAAAACGATCTTTTTGTTAATAAGTTTGAAATGATATTTTTCCTTTGTGTTAATAGTTTGTTTTTATTAATATTTATTAATAAATAAATTCCAATTAAAAATAATAATTTGTTTTTTATTGATTAGGCGTGCAGCTAGCGTATTTGTAGGTAAGCTATCCAATTCAAATTAGAATACTATTTTCTGAATCGTAGTAAAGTATGGCCTGCTGCGGTCGCGCATACCCTACACCATTCTCTACTATGATTCAGAACATCATAAACTGGGAGATGTGCTGAATCGTAGTATGGATTGTATTGTACTTAGTGGCGTTTCATTTTGTCAATCCTTACTGCGATTCAGAACACTATGGCTCTGTATCGTAGTACACAATGCCAATACGCGTCCCGGCAGGTGGGACCCAGTGGCGGCTGGTGGATTTTATGTATACCAATATCTCAGTTATTAGACATGGGACCCACACCAATTTTATAATAGTTTATAATGACATTAAATTAACAAACAGAATTTAAATTGAAGTTTGCGAAAAAAAGTTAGTTTTTCCTGTCGCCTCACCCGCCTCCAGGCCCCCCTATTTGAGATAATTCAAATTAAAGTGGTGCAATTTATTATCTACTATAATTTATCGACAAATTTAAAATTTTATTTAAAAAATCCAAATATTACAGATTTTATTCGATTTTAAATTTTTATTATTTATTTTATTAAAATAAAAAAATATTTTAAATGGTATAAAACCTGTAATATTTGGATTTTTTAAATAAAATTTTAAATTTGTCTATAAATTATAGTAGATAATAAATTGCACCACTTTAATTTGAATTATCTCAAATAGGGGGGCCTGGAGGCGGGTGAGGCGACAGGAAAAACTAACTTTTTTTCGCAAACTTCAATTTAAATTCTGTTTTCGCCGAACTTGTATATTTAATGTCATAATAAACTATTATAAATTTGGTGTGGGTCCCATGTCTAATAACTGAAATATTGGTATACCCAAAATCCACCAGCCGCCACTGGTGGGACCTGAAAATTACAATCGAAATCCCGACAACCCGGATTTCTTACATTTAAACCAGAAATCCCGTCAGTGACTGCATTTGGTTGGTTGGGTTATAAATGCCGGGATATCTAACAAAAATGTAAAAAAACCGGTTGTCGGGATTCAGATTGTTATTTTCGGGTCCCGGCTACCGGGACCTGATCCCCTGCCAAGTTTAAATATAATACATAGATTTATTTTTTTACATTTATAAGGTTACGTTAAAGTATAAAAAGTTAAAGTTTCCAACAAGTTTCAACCTATTTTTCCTACGACCTCTTTTATTTTGTTGGGTATTGTTCCTCTTAGTAGAAAAAAAATATTCCCCAACACCAAAACAAAACACAAAGTGCTTAAAGTACTTTTCGCCAACGTTGTTGGCGTCTTCAGAAGCGAAGTGTAACTAAATTTAGACTTATACTAATTATAAGCTAAGGTTGACTGAACTCTAAACGGACACAGTTTACTAAACCCTGGACCGTAATCGCTTCAGTGAACACGTAAAGAGAAACTCACAAACTAATTTATACAAACTTTCATAACTATCTAGAAGACTTGGTTCCTTAACTTAAGTTTAAGGTTGTCAAATCCTATTATATGGCCATCATTAAGTATATGTTGGGCAACACTCGATTTCTCTGTCCTACCAAATACCTACCATATACTTGATGATGGCCATATATATATTATATATAATAGGATTTTACAACCTTAACTTATTAAGAAAGTTAGGGAACCAAGTCTGCTAGAAAGTTATGAAAGTTTATACATCTATAAGAATAGAAATAAATCTTTAAATAGCGAAAACGGACCGGTACCCAACTCTAGTTTGTACTCAAAGCACTTCGAGTTTTGTTTTGGTGTTGGGGAATATTTCTAATGTTTGTTTAACATATCACCAAAGTTGTCCTTTTTCAAGTTTCTATGTTGAGCTTTATTATTTAAAACTGTAGATTTTAATAGTAGCCAGAATACTTTTTAAAGACAAATGGATTTAGACAAATTAGCCTGAATTATTGACAGAAATGGTATTTATTTTCTTTTAATTAATTGTGTTCCAAATTTATGTCCATTTTAATTCATTATCTCTTGGGTATTTCCATTTCAAATATTTTGCGTTTAAATTTACAGGAAAAACCGCGTATTTTTACACATTTGAAATATTTATATTCATTAAATTTATGCATTCAATATTGACATCACGATACGGTCGTGAAAAGTTTTTCGCGGATCCGGCCCACTTTCAATAAGGAACGATTTACTCAAAATATCTACACTAATTTTGCCAAATTTGGCAATAATCTTTTGAATATAATATTTTCAATAAAACAAAATAAAAAGACAAAGTTTTTTAACAAATGCACATTTCAGCGTCAAATAAAAGTAAAATGTCACACCATTTAAAAAGAACAAGAATCTGAAGCATGAAAAAAGTGGGTTTTACAAAATTTAATGTCACACCATTTAAAAAGAACAAGAATCTGAAGCATGAAAAAAGTGGGTTTTACAAAATTTAATATTTATTCACTTTTTAAAAATAATTTAGTATACACTTTAAAACTTTCTACATTTTGTTACATAAAAAACCCTAAATTACTATATATACATTATAATTATAATTTTTACTTTACATATTTATGCATTTATAAATGCATAAATATGTAAAGTGAAAATTATAATTATAATGTATATATAAAAACCGAAACAGTCCTGTCGGCACTAAAAACCGGCATAATTATTTAAAAATGCATTTATCATTTTTCACTAATCGGCCATTTCAAGCGCTACACAAAAAATATTTTTATAAAAGTAGAGATAATTTCAATAATTGACAGGTGTGGACGGGATGAAATAAATCTTTTTTTTGTCCCGTCCACTCATTTCAATTATTAAAATTATCTGTACTTTTATAAAATATTTCTTGTGTTTTTTTTATTTAATGTATAACATAATAAAAGAAGAATATTTTTGACAATTTGGATGACAAAATATTATATAATAAATAAACTACAATTTTTTTTATAAAAACAGTTTTTTAATTCGTGTGTTTCGCGGGCTTGAAACGGCCGGAATACATTTACCCATAAAATATGTATTTGATTTTTAAATTTTGGTAATTTAATGTAAATTTTAACATACGACATTTGGGCGATTTGAAATTAAAACTCCATTTTTATTTATATACAGTATATCCACGGATTGTTATAAAAGAAAAATAAAATAAATTAAAAAATTATTACATTTTTCAAAAAATCTTATTTTTTATTAAAGTTTTTGCTTCATTTCATTTTTATTACCTAATAATAATTTTATTTTTTTTGAATTTTTTTTGGTCAGTTTTTGTTTATTTGTCATTTTCTTTCCAACAAATGAATGTTATTATCATGTGTGCACTAAGTAAAAATCTCGAGAATTTTAATTAATTTTTACTTATGAAAAAGCATAAAAAGTGCATAAAACGGCAATAAAAAATGTATTTCTGGCGATAAATTGGATAACGCTTATTAAAAAGGAACCATGCCCCAAAAACTTTTCTAGTCTTGGTAAAATTATTTGTAAAATAATTTATATTTAATAATGCTCATTTGGAACTGGAAGGTTTCCAAATCATTATTAATTTTTTGAACAGCAATTAATATGAGTTATTTTGCAAATAATTTAGTTTAACCTAGAAAAAGTTTTTGGAGCTTGGTTCCTTTTCGATAAACGCTATCCAATTGAAAAGTAAAAGCTTTGAACATGTCAATAGAAACGATTACCATTGAGAAATTACAAATGAACGAAAACTAACCAAAAATGATTTTTATCTACTCCTATCGTATTATATTGGTTTTTTTCTTCATATATGTGAACTTGATTTTGGAATACACTGAAAGAAATATATGTTTGTTTTAGCATTGCATTGTGGTTCATATATGGACTACCACATACATTGCTAAAACAAACATATATTATATTTAGTTTTAACATAATATGTTAAAACTAAATATAAAAATGGTTAAGGTAAATATATTTTATGTGGTAGTCCACATACATTGCTAAAACAAACATAATATATATTATATTTCTTTCAGTGTATAATATAACCTTCGAGCTAACAACGGGAATAATTCATTCATTATTACATACTGTGATATGAACCAATCGGGTTTTAAATTCAGAGAAGGCAACTATAATAATATTTAAAATTTGTAGAAAGGGAGTTAACCATCTGATGTCAAATTTAATTTATTTATTCTTGAAAATCATTTCAATATCTACTATTTTGAGTAGATCAAGTATTACACTCAAGATTATGCGCAATATTTACTTGTATAATAATATGCAATTATCAAAAATAGTTTTAATTATTGGCTGGTTAAAAAGAGCAGATAAAGTTTTTGGTATAGCCAATGGCTATGGATATTAGCCATAGCATTTCAAAATTAATCATTTTTTTACAATAATCAATTACCATTAATCTGCAATGGTGCATATAGTTGTAATTTTACATCAAATTTTTACTCTAATTTTAGATGACTTTAATGATATTAGTGCCTAAAGATTTTACTCAAAAACTTTTGAACCCCTCGGATTACGCCAGCTTTTAAAACAAATTTTCTAAGCAGGTAATTACATCTCTCATCTTTGTTTTTACTTTCCACGACAGCACAAAAAATATAAGTTATTTAAACGCCATGTTTACCCATTTTCTAAGAGATCGTAGGAAAAAATATGCTGTAAATTAAAAAAAAATAACAAGATTGTGAACTTAAGTTTATTTAATAAATTAATTAATCCTAAGTTTTGCGCATATATTTTTACAACTTAATTTAATCCATTAACCAAAACTAAGCTGTTTGGAAGTACTAAGTGGAGTTATGTGTAACACAAAATTAATATTAACTCGACTGCAAAAATGCATGCATGGTAAAATTAAATTTTCTAAATCTGTGTATTATATAAATGCTACAAGACGGAATTTTACAAAGATATTTTAGATATACAGGGTAAGGAACATATCTAATTAAATTGGTGGGTGAAACAATGGTCCAAAATTTAAGACATTTTTCAGAAGGTACAAAAAAACAAATCATTAAAAAAAAACACCATTATGCGTCTTAGGCTACTACTATAGCAGTAGCCAATAGCCTATAGGTTATTTGTTTTGTTGTTTGTGATTAAAAATGTTTAATAGACCAACCCTTGCACTCACCGATTTTATTGTTATTTGGTATTATTATATTAATACAATATGGCATGGACGTCATTATAATTTCTTGAAATAATTGTTTCAATGCTTTTAACCCTTTTTTATTTAAAATTTCTTTATAATTGTAGATATAGGTTTAAGTAAATTTAGGCACACTGTATACATCTAAAACTAATTATTGCATTACCTTAATGTGATTAATAATAGTGTTAAAAATATTAAACTAATATTCTTACATAGAGAATTACTATTACTGGAATCTAAAAAAAAGAACATAATTAATAACATATTTTAAACAAATTTATAAAAATTTTTACATATTAAGAGGTGTTTGGGTATAAATAAATAAGTTTAAGAATGCAAGAGATATTTGAATTAATGGTTTTTCTTGTAACCCATTATTTCGGGATTTTTGTTGTGTTTTTTATTTTTTTACATTGTAAATAGATCTGAAGCAAAAATATTGAAAAATGTATGGCTTTTAAAATTAAATTTGCGTTTAAAGTATACATTAAACGTATATATAGCGTATTTAACATCATTTTTCATTTTAAATTACACATGTTTATTATTATTTATGTTTTGGAATATTTAAAAAAAACTAAATAAATGGTAATAAATGTGGCTAAAGATTTGTTATAAAAAGCTGTCTTAAAAATAACACAATAATTTATTACTTCTTTTCCAAGATTATTTATTATAAGAGATAAAAAAGGGAATTTATTTGATATGTCTTAAATATACAGGGTGCACTAAGTATGGGTATTTTTTTATTTCAAAAACTACAAGGTCGGTTGTATCAGAGAAACGTTGCGTAATTGCAAGCCTATTAAAATGATATCTGAAAATTAAAAAAAACAGCGGTTTTCAAAATATATCAAGAAAACTAAAAACCTGTTTAAACCAAAAATCCTTATATTATTTGTACCTGAGAAATAATAAAAATAATATATTTTGTTTTTATTACGGCCGTCATAACATTTGTTTTATACACTGTTTGATTTTTTAACCATGTACAATTTTAATATATATATTAAAATTGTACTACTATAGTGGAAAAAACTAACATGGCGGTGGTGGAAAAAACTAACATGGCGGTGGTAGCTCAAAATCTAGTGGGCGAAAAAAATCAAAAATGGTATGAAAATAAGTTTCACATACATTATTTTTTTCAAAATTACCAGGAATAACGAAGTTATAACAAATGTTGGTTTTAACAGGTTTTTAGTTTTTTTTAAATGTTTATTTAAGAACCGCTAATTTTTTACAATTTTTAAATGCCATTATAATACAATTGTAATTACGTAACGTTTCTTTATTTAACGAAAAAAAAAGATACACAGACATAGAAGGATAAGGGTGTATTATAATAGGGTGTCCCACGGTACACTGTATAACAAAATTTTTGAGAAATTTTGTTATTATCAATTTACAATATTAAGGGCCGGTTTTTCAATCGTTGGTTAACTTTATCTTACGGTTAATTTCCTTAGATACTATTGTTAACACAATAGTATCTAAGAAAGTTAACCGTAAGTTAAACTTAACCAACGATTGAAAAACCGGCCCTAAGCAAGATAAAGCACTTTTTAAAAAGCCAATTAGAGCGCGCCATTTTTATTGGCTAATTGCGTTGTCAAAAGTATATTGACGTGCTCTGGATGGTATATATACCATATACCTATAGGTATATGCAGACTCTGCATTGCAGAGGTAGTTTGATGTCAGTCAATTAACTTTTAGACTTTGTTACATGTGTATTTTTTTTAATTAAAAACATTTTGTATACATTATACATTTGCATACATTATAATGTTCTTGCCTTAGACATATTAAAAGAATGGACACGCAATGTTTTGTAATGTTGTATTGGGAGCCGATTTATCCACTAGGCAAGAAAGGCAGCTGCCTAGGGCTGATTTGTTTACCAAACGACTGCCTTTTGGGCGAAAGGAGCCAACAATACAGTTAAAACATGATACAACCAACAAAAGATACAATCTCTAGCAGTCGTGGTCAATACAACTGCGATATTTGAATAGCTAATATCGGTGTCAGCCTTACTTAATTAAAATTGTATGTAATAATAATGCAATAATAATAAGATAAAATGAAAATCGAAACATTTTATGTTATCATCGATGAACTCCTGGGAGATCTAAAAAGACACTTAGTTGCTTACACTGAAAAAAGTCAGTATTAATTTTTAAGTTGTAGGTGAATTTGAGGCCAACCTTTTATTATTTAAAACACTGTCTATAAAAGTTAAGAACCGTAATTAATTTAATAAAACATTCAATATTATTATAATAAGTGTTTCCTAACATTTAACTCATTTGGGTAGATGAATTTAATGTAACGCTGCGTGTCTTTATTATAAAGACAATTTTCTTTAGAGTAAATATATAAACATTTATTTTATATTAGTAGTAGTTACTTGTTTCTTTTTTGTTATGAATTCATGATTTTATTAAATAATCAAGCTATTATTGTTATAGGCTATATAGGGATAAAACTGTAATTAATTTATTTTTTCTACTCCCACCTTTAAAACGCCCTTTATCGTACATGTTTCCATGACACTAAGTGACCTTTTAAATACACATTGACAAGTTGTGGCTTTATGGCGCTTTAGTCACGGGCTGAAGTTAGCAACAAGTTTTTAGTCACGGGCTGAAGTTGGTTTAAGTTAGTTGACAGTTGTCAAATGTCATACAATTGTTAAAATAAATTGCCTTTCTTGTAAAATAATACCATAGTATTGGCGTTAAGAAACTATTTAATACTTTTGTATTTTTGTATTGAGAATCTCAATTTGAGATAATAAAATAATTTTATTTATAAATGTGAAAATTGTTTTATTATCTCAATACAAAAATACAAAAGTATTAAATAGTTTCTCAACGCCAATATTTGTAAAGTTTATATGAACCTAACCTATGACCTTTTAATTTCGCCGCCAGTAAACTATAACTTAAATTCGGGCACGGACAATGTAAAGTGCTCATAAAACATTTTCTTTACTTTCACTGTGAAAAACTGTCAATTTTCAAGAAATACATTTCGATGTATAACCTTTATAATTGTGTTTATAAAATAAAAAAAAATTGACATTTGACAGATTCCCCTATTGTTTCATAGATGGCGCTCTATACAAATTTTTGATTTAAATCATTTTAAGATAATAATAAGTATTTGTCGTAGAAAAAGTATAGTATGCACCCTGTTTATAAACTATTCTATACACTCATTAATTTAAGCACTCGCTCGCAAGCTCGCTCGTGCCTAAATTAAATTCGTGTATAAAATGGCGTTTATCAAACTTGATACATAATATACTATTATCTACTCCTACATTGACGAGCTGTAACTTTATGGCGTTTTATTGACGGGCTGAAGTTAACAACAGTGGCTTTTCGACATTTTACGTCACGGGCTGAAGTTAGCTTTTTTATAAATTGGGAAAAAGTGAGGTTAAATTCGGGTGACAGTTGACAGATGTCAAAATTTTAACAAATAAAATTGCGTTTAAATTCTGTTTTGTGTTCGTTGTAGATAAAGTATACCTAGTATGCAACTCGTTTATAAACTTCTCTAGACACTTGTTTTTATTAAACGCTCGTGCTTAATTAAACTGGTAGGTAACTAAAATGGCGTTTATAAAACTTGATACATAATATACTATTAACGTTATGACAACTTAAAGCAACTTGGAAAATGAATCAATAGTTAAAGAAGGAGAAAAGTTAATAAACATTTACGAAAATGATTTAGATACTTCGTTTATTCAAGAATGCATTCATTTAAAAGCGCTTTTAAAAAAAAACATTAAATCTCCTTTGGAAATTTGCAAGTATTTAAGAAAAAATTAATTAAAAGAAACATTCCCCAATTTCGACATAGCATTTCGAATTTACTTATCCAAAATGCAATGTTTTTTCTACAACCATTTTTTATTTATTATTTTCAAATACAAAACAAAATAACCTAAAAACGTGTTTGACATCTGAATGTCAAACGATGCTGTAAATTTCTTTTGACACACAACTTTACATTCAAGTTTTGCTTTGGCAATGAAAAGATTTAATTTCTAAGCAACAATTCCATTAAGAAATGTGACTTTTACATAGTGGTCGTAGAAAATAGTATATTATGTATCAAGTTTGATAAACGCTATTTTATACACGAATTTAATTTAGGCACGAGCGAGCTTGCGAGCGAGTGCTTAACTTAATGAGTGCATAGAAAAGTTTATAAACGAGTTGCATACTATACTTTTTCTACGACAAATACTTTTTATTATCTTAAAATGATTTAAATCAAAAATTTGTATAAAGCGCCATCTATGAAACAACAGAGGAAACTGTCAAATGTCACATTTTTACATTTTATAAACACAATTATAAAGGTTTTAAATCGAAATGTATATTGAAAATTGACAGTTTTTCACAGTAAAAGTAAAGGAAATGTTTTATGAGGACTTTACAGTAGTGTCCGTGCCCGAATTTAAGTTGTAGTTTATTGCCGGTGAAATTAAAAGGTCAGTACAATGTTCATATAAACTTTTCAAATATTGGCGTTGAGAAACTATTTAATATTTTTGTATTTTTGTATTGAGATAATAAAATAATTTTCACATTTAGTATTATTTTACAAGAAAGGCACTTTATTTTAACGATTGCATGACATTTGACAACTGTCAATTAACTTAAAACTAACTTCAGCCCGTGACTAAAGCGCCGTAAAGCCACAACTTGTCAATGTGTATTTAAAAGGTCACTTGGTGTCATGGAAACATGTACGGCGTTTTAAAGGTGGGAGTAGAAAAAATATTTTAAATAAAAGTATAATAAACTGAAAAAGCATAAATAAACAAATTGTTCAACAATAGCTTTTAGCTTTTTTCATTAAATGCTCAAAATGACTTCCATTATTTTGTAAGCAATACTACAGTCTATTCTCTAATTCCCTTCGAACATTCTTGAATTATTCGTTGTCGCAGATCTTCAATAAAATAAGGCTGAGTTTTGTAGACCACAGATTGTGACTCCATAAGAAAAAGTCTAATGGTGTCAAATCTGGAGATCTGACAGGCCATTATATTGGTCCTCTTCCACCAATCGACTGTTCTGGATAATTCTGATCCAGCCAAACCCTAACAGCTACTAAATAATGAGGTGGTGCCCCATCTTCTTGAAAATGTAATAAATTTTCACCCAGAGCTAGTTCATCATCCTCTCCTTTTTGATTTTTTAGTTAA